AGCGAGCCTGAATCATCTATCGTTCGGAGCTTACTGTCATCAACTTCCAACATTGCCACCCCGTCTTCTTATATGACGACAGCTGAGCAAGTACCTTCAACGGACCCCGCGACAGTTTCTGCAGGTGCGCCTGAATCAAACATCCTCCGAAGCTTATTGTCGTCAACTTCCAACATTGCCACCCCGTCTTCTTCTGCAACGACGGCTGAGCGAGTACCTTCAACGGCAAGCGCGCCTGAATCAAGCATCCTTCGAAGCTTATTGTCATCAACCTCCTACATTGCCACCCCGTCTTCTTCTGCAACGACGGCTGAGCGAGTACCTTCAACGGACCCCTCCACACTTTCTGTGCACGGAATGGCAGCAAGCGAGCCTGAATCATCTATCGCTCGAAGAGTATTGCCACCAACTTCCAACATTGCCACCCCGTCTTCTTCTGCGACGACGGCTGAGCGAGTACCTTCAGCGGACCCCTCGAGAGTTTCTGTGCACGGAATGGCAGCAAGCGAGCCTCAATCATCTACGGTTCGGAACCTATTGTCATCAACGTCCGACATTGCCTCCCCGCCTTCTTCTGGGACGACAGTTGAGGGTTTGCCGCAGGGATGGCGGCTATCTGCACAGGTGGGATTGCTTCCGTCCCGCAACACCCGCGTAGGAAACCTAGTCTTGGACTCGCCTAAGACTGCTGTTTTCTAATCTGTTAAGCATTAGCCCCTTGCTATTCACGGAGCTAGGCTGGTTGCAATTGTTGCTTTGGTAAGGGAAAATTGCAGTGAGATGGAATGAAGTGCTGTCACCGTGGTACTTTTTGCCCAGTTGGCATTTGCGCAGGCGGAGTCTGCAACCGAAAACCTCGAAGCTTCGTTTAAATGGGTNCAGTTGGCATTTGCGCAGGCGGAGTCTGCAACCGAAAACCTCGAAGCTTCGTTTAAATGGGTTAAAGAAGTCCTTGGCGGGGTTTCCGATGAAGTCCTCTTAACTCATCCATTTTACCGTAACCCGGGGGTGCAGCTAAGGTTCAGCAAGAGGACATTCAACCAAGATGCGGTGGAGTGGTTCCGAACTCGGAAACAAACATCACTCCTGTTGCTTTTGAAATGCAGGTACCTAATGAAGAAACCATCCCTGACCACCAGGGAGGTTGAATCGCTTTTGACCTGCACGGAGCGCCTGTGCGGATATGCAACCACCGTCATGCCGAACGATTACACGGTACAATCTGCCATTGCAACATGGGGAAAGGTGTTTATTGTTCTCGACGCTCTACACTGCGCAGCAGAAGTGCTTGGGAGGAGTTCCAGGAGAGATGTGTGGTGGCCGAGAGTAGTACGTCACCTTCGAGATGCACGATATTTTGACGGTCCCAGCGCACAAATCGTTGAGAAGACGAGTTGGGGTTCTTGCATCTTAAACGGTCTGAGCGCTGCGCTAGACTATTACAGGTTGGGACATAGGCCGCCTCCGCGCCTCGTGGTCAGCTTAAAATTGGCCCTTTTTCTATTACCCGTGCAAACGGACTTCCGGAAGAAGAAGTGGGACCCTTGGAGAGAAGACGCCGCAGAATGGCTCGAGTCAGCCAAGCCAAGTAGACAGCAAAGCAAGCAGTAAACAGAACAATAAACATGTTGAAGCTGCCTATGAAATGATAGTCGTGCATCACCAGGCCACAGAAATGGATCAGGTCTCACATTGGCTTCAGCCGCGAAAGGCTCAGCTGTAAAGCTGAGAAAGCATACAGGCAGGCTGCGCGCAGGCTTAATTCGTCTTCGTTCGTCGGCAAGTCTCGTATGCTCAAGGAGCTACGATATTCAAGCACCAGCGATATTGAATAAGCGTTGCATGTTCGGACTGGAGGACTGACGTCCCTTGGTTGCGAATATGTTGACCACCGTAGACGAGTGTTGAACAGCAAGCTGGCTAACGGGGGATCTGAAGCAAGCGGACGAATGCGCTGAGCTGAGTGGACAACTAACAAGATTAACGACTCTAATTGAGGGCAAAAGCACAGTCCAGGACAGCTCGAAACCGAATTCTAGTGGAAGGGCGTCCTGTTTCGACGCTGTTAAAGGGGAGTCAGCGATCAGCATAGAGTTCCTGTACGCAACTGACGAACAAGTAGCTCGCACCAGTAGGAGGGGCTAAAGTATGTAACACCTTTTCCCTGACTCAGTAAAAGAGCTGCTTGGCTGGTGTTTACTTGGTTCTCTCCTGCAGTACCTACAACGGATTAGCCACAAGTCTTAGCGATCATCTAGCATCCCGACACGCCACCCACGTCCGATTCGCTGCATCTTCCGGCGTATACACCATGGCGCGAAGTATTTTGGTGGAAATCCCGACCTGATATACTTTGCTGGTCATCAATGCTTGTTGGGGTCCGTCGCTTCTCCGCGCCTTCCCGGCCTCTGGAGTTGGCGTTCCCATCTAGGTTCTGATGTAGTCCTAAGTAGTTCTGCCCCCAATCGGAAAATGCGTGTGCATCTTGAAACCATTTAATAGTTCAGCACAGCCATGGTGGGTCCGTTTACGGAAGTTGCTGCCTTCTTTGGGTCATGTCACCTCGTGCGCAGGCGATCACTCAGGGCTCCGTAGAGGTGTTTTCGTGCAAAAACTGCCTGTTCCCTCTTGAAAAATCGCTGCACATGACTCCAGCTGCCACTTAGTGGGATTTCAGGCAATCAGGCAATGCAACGGAGTTTTTCAATCTCTCCAACGTCTACGCATACTCCAGGACTGAACACGGCACTTTGGCAGCATCCTCGCAAATCCAGTACGCGTGTTTTACATGGCATGAGATCCTCTTCAATTTATTTTCGTCTCTCCCTGCTAGGCAATGGAGACAACGAAAACAGTGCCAATCCCATACAAGGGGCGACTACCGAAGGCACGACCACTGCAGGCAGTGAGTGGTTCTGGGGGGTGCCGGTATGCATTCCTTGCCTACCTGTGCAGCCTGTCGACTTACAAGAGGCTAACCGTTTTGTCCTTTGGTTGCAAATTGGTATACACCTCGGTTGGCGAAGAGTCTGACGAGCCAGACTCCTTCTGCTGCGCCGGTTGCACCCATTTCATCGAAAGGTCCACCGGATATGTCCCCACAACTGGCTTCTAATGTTAGGGCAATGCAAGCCTAGTCAGAAAATACGAAGCTTACCTCTTTAACGGAAAAAACTACCGACGACTGAGGCAAAATGATTCCGGAGGAGGCGACTTCACAGCTAGAGACACCACGGGCGAAGTTAGCTTAAGGGGGCAAAGTGGGGGTATGTCTTAAGTGGCGAATGAAGCTAAACACTCGGGGTATTAGATACTCCGTTGCAACACCCGCCAGATGTCTGGCCTACTGTCGATTTATCCATTTGTTCAGTGTTATCTGGAGGTGGTGGTGCCATCTCCGAGGGGTTTTATATTTTCGATGAGTATCAACGGGAGTCGGCAGAGGAATATTCCATTTTTCTCAAGACACTCATCATTGTTTAATGGCTGTGCGGCGGTTACGGAGTATTTTGAGCCAACATCGCCCGTGCTCACGCTAGCTAGCAAAGCGCCTGGATCGTCTGGAGACCCTTCGGCCCTTGATTTAAGAGACTTGATGGGTACACCCCTTCAGCCTTCGAACCCGTACTTTCAGAAGCCATTCGTAGTAGCCACTGCGTCTGGTTGGATGAAACGGAATTCTTGGGGACGCCACTGCGTGCGGTGACCGTTAGCTTTCCGCCTTCTGCACTGCAATCCAGTAGTGAATACACCAAGAAAGCAACGGAAAGTCACGGGCCGTTATTCGCTGCCGCTTCCGCGAACAGCATGAACAGCATGGATTCAGGAGCGCCTTCCAGCTTTGAAACATTACCACAGTGAACCCAGCAGAGACGTAAGGCTAATTGGCCTCGGGATAAAATGAACAACGTTTGCTACATCGCTTCAAGCCATCCAGCAGCAACGGCTCCCTCGTTGTTTTGTTTTGAGAAAGCGTGAGTGGCTGTGGGTTAAGTGCTTGCTGTGCAGTAGGGGTATGCCGAAACATCGCTTCGACTACCTGCAAGTGAACTCTTCGCGTCACCTGAACAGCGATTAGGAGCCTGGAACCACAGCTGTGAGCAGCTTAATCGATCCGAGTCTCGACGCCACAGCCGGCAGGCCTTTGTTTCCAGGTATTGCGGGTGGGGTACTATTGCCTACATATATGAGCAAGTGACTCCGTAAGAACCCCAGCATAATGATCCTAATATCCTATTCGCAACTTCTTTGGCATCGTTACTTCAGCATCAATCTGCGCAAAGCAGGTCGCTGGTGCCACTTTACAACTAGGAAAGTTGCAATGGACGGAGCTTTCCGCCGTTGTACGCTTTCTCCAGATGGCTCGTGCGTTCGTGCCGCATCCAGATGCTGACGTCTTTCCTTGTTTTGCTGCAGAATATGCCAGTCAGGGGCCCTGTTGGTGTACTGTTGACCCAATTTCCCTTCCCGAATCCCGAACTCATTAATGACTCAGTTGTAAAACCTCTAGTCAAGGCTTTGCAGTTTTTTTTCTCAGCTCAAGAGCACCAACGCATCCCCTTCGCTCTTCGAGTCCACACAGCATATCAAAAAGACGCCAATCGTCAAAAACCAGTTTGATCCGCTTGCGGAAAATACGAAAAGCGTCTGTGGATCTGGACCCCGGGAGAGCATGCAAGCGTATGACCAACATAAGCTGGCAGCGTATGCCATGGAAACTCCATGGACGGTTCTTCTTGTCCTCGGTAGGATCAGTTGGCCTCAAAAGTACCGGGGGGAAATCCCAAGGAGGAATGTGTGGGTCGGCTGTACGTTTCCCCATGAAAGACGCAATGTATGACTCCAAGCGGGAAAAAAGCGGTTTAGACCGTTCGTTGTAGAGTTACGTACAGGGCAGGAGGCCTCCCGCGTGCTTGGTAGTTGCATTCAAAGAGCCCAGAGCCCATATTTTGCATACCTGACTGAACGAAGCTTAGTCCTGATAACTTTGAACCCTGGCGAAAAGACATCGCAGAGTGGTGCCGGTCCATCGAGCCGTGTACAATGAACGGTCGGCATAACCACCGATGAGTCACTGAAATAGGCGGTTGAGCCACACAAACAGTTGTGAGTCATGCCGCCGGTGACTCATCCCGACGGAGTCCTCTATAGGCAGCAGCAGATGACTGTTTAATGCCGTCTAGAAAGAACTACTGTTAACGGGATATCTTTCCACATCCACTGTTGTTTGCTGAGCTAGATTGCGACCAATCGAAATGCGCTTCTCATTGACGACAAAAGCAAGTCAAATACCGAGGCGCATCAAATCAAGATAGCTATGTTTTGGTTCGACAGACTAACAAAGAGCTATCTCATTGATCTTATCTGAGTAAAGCTGAGCTGCAATCTAGTCAATATGCTAACTGACAGGCAGCTGACGTCCCATTCCGCTCTTCATGGTTCCTGGGCAGAACGTGCAAATGCCCGTGTCCGCTGCGTAAAAAAGGTGGCGTGTCATGACCTGCAGCACGCGTTGTTGCATGTAGTACGATCTGTCTGCAGTTGGTACATTCCGTGGATGTTGTCTACAGGGCGAAGTGTACGCGTTTACCAGGTGTCTACGGTGTTAGTTCACGCGTCAAAAAGGGTATTGGGTAAGCCAACATGTGGGATACCTTGCAGCAGGAAGTGCTGCAACGCGAATATATCCGCCTCCCTGAATCGGCCCCGAAGGCTCGTGATGATGTGCTCAGGACGCCTGGAGACTGAGGAGGCGGTCATCAGCTTCTTGGGGTTATGTCTCACCTAAGTCCTTTGCCTACTCCTCCTGACGACGGCTGCAGTGTAACGACCGGGGCCTAACAGCCTCTGCTAAGGCCGAGAAACCTCGTTATACTGCAACTTTTGCTGCAAGGCAACCCCGCGTGCAGACTTAGCCGCCCAACATTTTGATTAATACAGTAACGTTGTACACAATTGCTAGGAACACACTTGGCCCTCAGTAGACACCGTGAGGGTAAGTAGGAATACATGTAACAGTTTCAGACTGGCCGTGCTATACACCAAGTGTACTGCTCGGCACTACAACGTCAGTGCCGGCTAGGCTTGGCACCTAGGAGGTAACTAACGGTCAGCACCAGCACCATAGAAGCAAGGGTCAACAAATCGTTTCATCCAAGTGAAGTAGGGGGATCAGCACCTTTACGAGTAGGAAGGTCAGCACCTATACGAGTAAAGTAACGAGACCGTGAAACGGTGTAGGCGTGGCCGGCACGCGGTGCGAGCATCCTCCCAGTGCTGGCGTCACGAGCCCTGGCCACAATCATAGGGGAAACACAAAGGCATTGTGGGAGATCTATTCTCCTGCTGAATTACCCTAATCAAAAACCTGCATATCATTTTCACGCTTGAGGTTACTGTTCGTTATCGTTGTGATCCCTTCGTATTCCGTTGGACTTGCCTGTCTAGTGCTCCTCGCTAGGAAAGAACACGCCGCCGGTGCAATTTGGTTCCACTTGTCCTGATTCTATGGCATATTTGTCCTGATTCTTATCACGGAGCTAAATTTTTGTTGTTATATCAATAATATGAGGTGCGCCCTCGGCCCTCAGAAACTTCAGGGTTCGTGAGCA